AATAATAAAAAATTAAACTAAAATTAATTTTTTTTCATTCCCGTTAGAGGAAAAGGGTATATGTGAGCCATTTGTATATAAGTAGGGGTATATATGAGCCACTTTCATAACGAGGGGTATATCAGCTCTAAATGACAAAGTTGAGGGGTATATAAGACCCTTTTCCCTTTCCAAAAAGCTCATTTCTAGTATTCTTAGGGTCATACTTGTAATGTATATCCAAATCGGTAGTTGGTGATTGCACACAACTCTCAGGAACCTTTTGAGCCTTTGTATGCTCATGCCTATAATACCCACAAGAGGACTTCATGTGGTGAGCGGTGAGAATTAGCGAAGTGCCAAAGCCTTATGTGCTACTACTTCGAAGAGCAGCTAAATTAACTTGAAGCTACGATAGAGGATGTTTCCTTTCGCCTAGGAGCTGAGAGTCCTTCGACAGCCTTAGAAGTAAAATAGGAGTGACTCGTTGCTTATGGATCATCAGCATGCTGGCTAAAAAAGTACATAAGTGATCCTATTTCCATTTATCATGTGAGCTAGTCATACCAAGATTAATGAAAGATAGAGGAGGAACTAGCTTTAAACTTATTGGCAGACTGATGCAACTAAACTACTGGATCAAAATGTTGTCCAATTTGGGTTATTTAGATTCTGTTTGGTTAAGAGAATGAAATATGGTTAGCTTAATTGTGTTTTAGGCCAAACTAGGAATCACTTAGTTCTCGGTTTTTCAATTCTGTTATTTCTGCAGGGCGCTCCATTTCAGTGAAAATATAAGTTAGATTATTCAGCTCTCAACGGAATCAAACGGTAATTAGATGCGATCAAAGCTAAAGTAATAGTGTGATACAATGCATCACAAAATAGATATACAAATAAAAGTGGGATATCTCAGACTAGATTATGAAAGTTGTCAGGCCTCTACCTATGCGAAGTCCACATGCATTTATCTCATCCAGTTATCACAGTCTTGGAACATAAATATGGCTATTTTTAACCTTCAACGGACGCACTATCAGAGTCTGGTTTTTTGGGGAAAAAAAGAGCTAAATAAAGCAAGACATAGTATGATAATAGCTCTTTCAATTGTCCATTTCCTTTTTCTACTTTGTGGGCACGTCATATGCAGCAGCTCTTCCAATTTTTGTTGGGATGTTCATTTTAGTTTTCCGCATTTTTGCATCCGATAATTGTTTCTATTATTATTTATATTTCATTTTTCTTTTGGATACCATTTTAGTTACCTTTGATAAGGATAGGCAGTTAACTTGTTTGTGTAATACAAATGATTCTGTTGCAGGTCGACATGTATCTGCTTCCGCAGTCAGGATTCCCAACAGGTGGTCTATACTTTAGAAACAAGACTTGGGTGAAGGAAACCAAGGGAATGCATGTTATTATTCATAATAACTATATTGTTGGTTTTGAGAAGAAGACAAAACGTTTCCGTGATTATGGTCTCTGGTTGGTGGATGATTTTAGTTCTGAATCCCCGCTTGGCAGATTAGACTAGATAGGAAGATAGTAAAAGAACTCATGATATCCTTTTGGCAAACCAGCAGAGCAGTAATTCGAACAGCAGCAGGCCAAATTTCTCTCTTCCTCTAAAGGCTTTGGAAGTTTTAGCAGCTGGTGCACATGCATTACCAATATCTCAATCATTTCATTGAGTTGATATTCTGGGTTGCTAAGCGAAGCACGCCAGAATGTTCCTTCCTAAATGCATAGATTTTGTAATTCCATCTTAGATTTATTGAGAACTCTGCTATTGTTTATCTAATGTCTAGTTTGTTCTCATGTAAAATGAGTCTGTATTAGGGACTCCAAAAATTGCCCTATTCCTCCCCTTTTTATACTCCAATATTGATTTGTATCTATTCAGTGTACAAGACACGGTAACTTTATGAAATACTGAATGAAATGTTTTGTAATATTTGCTTCAGAGTGCTATCATTTCAGTGATACGTTTTACTGAACCAGTGCATTACTCATATTGGTTTGCAAGCCTAAACATGGATTTCTTTTTTCTTCCCTTTCTCCTCGAGCATTCATTATAGTAAGTAACAAGATTCTAAAGAGTATTATTATATTCAGCTCAGGTACCAAAAGTCTTTCTTTTTCAAAGTCCGTGCTTAGATAAATACAATCATATGCAACGTAATGATTTTTCTCTTTGGTATATTAACTAATTTCATATATTTTTTGAATTAGTTTACCTAAAATGAATGATCAAGAATATTTTTCTTTCTTTAGACATCTAATTTGTCATTTGAAGGAGACCTAAATCTGAAACTTCTTAAATGAAATATTGATTGATGTCAAATGGTACATATTAATTATTATGTATGAGCAAAAGATTGAAATATATATATAAAAAAAAAAAAAAAAACTTGCAAAAATTAATTAAAAATGCGTCTGCCGGGAGTCGAACCCGGGTCTATTGCTTGGAAGGCAATTATCCTAACCGTTGGACTACAAACGCTTGGTTGTTAACAGCTGTCTATACTTTAACTTAACACAAATATTGTACATTTTCACACATAAAATGAAATATGTTATTATAAATTATTTACACTATAAATCATTACGATATGCATTTTTTTAAATAAAACAAAGGATTCATTCAGATAACTGTAGGTTTTAATTAATTCTTTATTCGATTGTTATAGTAGAGTTGTTGCGACTCTACAAATGTTTATTGGAGTAAGTTGGATAATCTTTTATCAAAAGACCAACCAATAATTTTAAAATTGTTTCTAGTGGATATAGAGAGTCTATAAGAAATAACTCTCTATATTTATAAAATTAAAATAAAATCGCATACATATTACTTTTCTATACTTTTTTTTTGGTAAATTAGATTAACTTTATATTAACTTTAAACAAAGTGTACATTATTTATTAAAAATCACGCTTGTTATTGTTGTTTTAATGGATATAGCCATATAGTAATATCTAATATGTCTCGCAAAATGCGGTCACTATTCAATCAATGTCCGATAATTAATATTAGAGATTTTTTTGTGATGCACGCAATTTGTACTACTAGTGTCGGTTCACACGAAGATTGATTATATATCATATTATATATGAGCTGCCATATTCCTCACTGTTCAAATATTTTATTTTATTTATCAACCTAGCTACTTGTTCTACTTAAAATTATATGCTTATTTTAAAAATTACTCTTTATTAGAAGTGTTTTTTTGAATAATAATAATTTAGTGTTTCGTTAATTAATTTGAAAAAAAAATACTTTAATCAACATTAAAACAACAATTTATGCTAGACTATCAACTTATCATTCAAGAGTTATTTTCAGGGGAGTTTATCAAATACGTCAATTTTCTAAGTATTTAAAAAAAAATACTTTTAGCATTTCAAAAACTTGATCAAATACATTATTATATTGATCATCATCAAAGAGAATTATCTAGATTAATTGCTAGAGTCGTATATACGTATTAATTACTATTATTTAAAATTGTATACGTCTCCTTGTTAGATTCTTAGTCAACTAACTCGATTGGTCAATTGCTAATTAATTTAGGAGTTTGGACAATATTCAATTGAAATTAACAAATAAATTTAATATTTAAAGATGAAAAGGTGTATTTTGAGTTGAAATGAGGAGCCCATTTTTCCTACTGGTCCTTTTTTTTTTACTTGCAATACAGCCAAGAGAAAAAGAAGGTAATCAAGCATATATATATGGCCACTAGTGACTTTCAAGATAATCATGATACTCTGAACAAATGTAATGTGAAGTTTCTCTTTATTATATATATTTTATGAGTTCACTCTATTATCGATATGGACTGTGGTGCAGTAGTGGAATTGATCCACTCTTAATTAGATGTTTTGAGTTCGAGTCCTGGATATAAAGAAAATCTTGTTAGGAGTGTCACCTTCGAATATCTTAAGTTCAAGCCCTAGATATGAAGAAAATCTTGTTGGAAGTGTCATTCTCAAATGGACCATATAGTGCACGACCCAAATTTAGTCGGAACTCCAATGCAAATTTTAGACACATCCTCAAATGGATCATGTAGTACACGATCCAAATTTAATCAAAGCTCCAATGCACACTTCAGACACATATCCTCAAATGGACCTTGTAGTACACTATCCTAATTTAATCAAAGCTCTAACGGAGACTCTAAACACATGCAGAAAAAAAGAAAAGAGGCAATTCTATTGATTATTAAGCTTGACTTTATGCAATTATGTAATTTGATTCCCAAAGGAAAGTAGTATCCACTTAGAAAAGGTTATAAAGGGAATAGAGTTAACAAAAATGATAACTTTTGTACTCAATAAATAAAAGAGAAATATCAACCTCGCAATATTTAAAATATCTAGTTAAATTATTGACAAAATAGAAATGAACAACATCTGAATTATAACTATTTATTTTTTATTGTTATCTGATATTTGCCTTGAGACCTGACTAATTTAAATTTACATTTAAAATTTTCTATTTTAGAAGCTAAAGATGACTCCATACTTAGAACTCAAATTTCAGTCCTCTAATTAAGATCGATGAAAAAATATTCATCACTTTAATTATCACAATCTTTTGCTCGATTTATAATTTTATGCTAACAATTAGTATGATAGCTACCCAAAATAAAAACAAAAAGTTGCATATTTTATTTATGTAAGTGTATTCGTACCTAGTCAAGACAATTTTGATTTGATTACTCCAATCAGATGTAGAAAGTTTTGTTTTTTTGGTTAATAATTTGAAAGAGAAAATCGAATTGATAAATATACATACAATATTATGATTATTTTTTCACTTCAAAACTCTTTTAATTTAACATCTTGATTGTACCAACTAAATGTGCTACTTTAATTGTATGCAAATTAACAGTAAAATATTCCAGATTCTATTAATCATTAAAAATAGTATTTTAAAATTCATGGTTGAAATTATAGCTAATATTTGGTATCAGACCTAACGTCTTCCTTTGTTTACCTTATCAAGTAAAAAGTTCCAACAATTTATTTATTTTACTCAATTCAAATAGTATGTGAAGTTTAACTACCTTAGTAGTATTTTTTTCATTATTTATTAGCATACCAAATTTCTTGCTTATTAGTTTAAAAAATAAAAGCTTTGAGTGTTTTTTTTAGTTTCTCATTCGATATTTGATATTCATATTGAAGCTTTAGATCACGTGTCGCAGTAGGCAACAGTTTCAAATTTTGTTTTGTCATTCTTAAAATTTAAAATCGAGAAATCTGATTAAGGATCAAGGGGATCACACCATTCCACCATAACGAACCATATTGATAACTTGAGTTTAAACACTATTAGGATTTATGAGGGACCTTCAACTTCAAGTACTATAGTAAAATTAAGGTATTTTTATTCCCCTTAAAAGGTTGGTTTTCCAATATTGTCTATAAAATGTAAGGGGCAATTTTTTAAATGCATTTCCAACATTTAATTATTTAATAACACATATGGGGTCAACTTTTCACATTCTAAAGATTTAATCTCATAAACTTCATTCCATATTTACACAAAAATAAGCTAGCAAATATTTTTTTTCAAAATCATTAAGATACGCAGAATTAATGTCTTTGTCATTTTCATCCCTCATTGTTTCATTATTTTAAGGACTTTACAAAACAAAAAAAAAAGGTAAAAATAGCATTTTCTTTAAAAGAGGTATTTATAATTATCTTCAAGAATTTCCATAATAATTTATCTTTTCTTTAATAGTAGTCACAATTTTAGTCTACTATTTCCTAAAATAATATACATAAATGTAGCAAGAAAATAGGTCATATCAATTTCACTTTTTCAATTTCTCATCTATTACAGTCCCTTTGTCCTAATTTTTTTTTTCTTTTCAGTAAAATAATTTTTCTCTAATTTTAATTTAATTTAATGAAAACTAATACAAAGGGTCATTTGAAGCTTCAATTACCTTCCACTATTCTATGTTATATAGATGTAAAAATCAACTTTAATTTTAGAAAAATTACTCATAATAATTTGTTGTGTTGATCATACATATATTTTTTTCACGATATCCGCTACTATCTTATAGCTCGCAAAATTATGTAAAATACGAAATAAAATTGTATATAACGTTTGACGACAATGCCACGGCAGCAGAACAGCCACATGGGTCTATCTTCTGTTCTGTTCATCTTCTTTCTTGCATAAATAAATAGCTGTATTTCTCTTACTTTCCTTATTCATAATTTAATTTAATTTAATATATGCAGATCTTTTTATATACTGAATTAATGTGAAGCTGCTTCTTTAAAAAGGAAAAAAAAAAAAACTCACAAGCATCTTCTTGATTTCTTTAATGGTAGAAAACAAACAACACTCTGCTAATTCTTTATTTTGACATCACTAGAAATATTTTAGTGTTAAAATAAACAAGAACACTACTAGGTGAAGTGGGTGTAGCTGTGTTCTTTGATTTTTTTTTTAGTTGTTTTGCTTGTATGAGTTGGTCTGTATGTATATGTACAGATTTTTGTGATTTTTTTTTACGGGATGTAAATGGGGTCTCTTGAAAATGGGGTTTCTTTGAAGAAAGATCAGAACTTGCTTCGTTCTTCATCAGCAACTGGGAGGAATGTATTTGGTCAAAGACAAGTCAGATCGAGATTTGCAAGATTCTTGTTTGTTAAGAAGATTAATTATTTACAATGGATTTGTACTGTGGCTGTGTTCTTCTTCTTTGTTGTTCTCTTCCAGATGCTCTTGCCTGGTTCTGTGATGGAAAAATCTGGGAATTTAACTCAAGATAGTGAAGTGGGGTATGGGGATTTGGCTTTATTGAAAGAGTTGGGGGGTTTGGATTTTGGGGAAGATATCAAGTTTGAACCTTTGAAGCTTCTAGCTAAGTTTCATGATGAGGCTGTGGAGGCCAATGGAACTGTTGCTTCAAGGACTGTTGTTAGATTTGGTT